GGGAGGACGAAGAAGAAGAAGAAGAAGAAGAAGAAGAAGAAGAAGAAGAAGAAGAAGAAGAAGAAGAGGAAGAGGAGGAGAAGAGGAGGAGGAAGAAGAAGATGAAGAAAAAGATGGGAGGGGGGTGCGAAAGCGTGGGCGAGAAGAAGAAGAAGATGAAGGTGGAAGATGGGCAGGGGGTGAGAAATGGAGGGCGAGAAAGGATGGAGGGCAGGGGCTGAGAAAGGGTGCGAAGAAGAAGAAGAAGTAGGAGAATAAGATGAAGAAGAAGAAGAAGAAGAAGAAGAAGAAGAAAAACAAGAAGAAGAAGAAGAAGAAGAAGAAGAAGAAGAAGAAGAAGAAGAAGAAGAAGAAGACGATGATGAAGAAGAAGGGGGGTGGTGTAGGAGACGCGGCCCAACACGCGCGCGCACGAGGCAGATAAAAATACGAAAAAAAAAAATATCGGAACTGGTGGTCGCTGATGGCGGACAGGGGGGGCAAGAAGAAGAAGAAGAAGAAGTAGAAGAAGAAGAAGAAGAGGAGGAGGAGGAGGTGGAGGAGAAGAGGAAGAAGAAGAAGCAGAAGAAGAAGAGGAGGAAGAAGAAGATGAAGAAGAAGCGAAGGAGGAGAGGACGAAGAGGAAGAGGAAGAGTGACAAGAAGAAGAAGAAGAAGAAGAAGAAGAAGAAGCGGCGGAGTAGGAGAAGAAGAAGAAAAAGCGAGGGAGGAGAAGGAGGAGAAGAAGAAGAAGAAGAAGAAGAAGATCTCTCTCTCTCTCTCTCGTACTAACACACTCACCATGGCCCGCGTCGGGGGGCGTCGGCAGGCAGCGCCATGGCGTCTGGGGGGCGTCGACTGCGTTGGCGGGCGCGCGGTTCGAAGGCAACGATGAATGTGCCAGTCAGACGAAGTGAGGCGCCGGGCGCGGGGTTCGAAGGCGAAGACGAACTACAGTAGTCGGTCGAGGTGAGGTGGGAAACTAGAACAGCATGGGGAAAAAAAAAGGGCCGGTAGGCCCGATTTGAAACATTTCAAATTGCGGTCCATCTGCGCCGTCGATCTTGGAGATCGACGGCGCAGATGGGCCGCGATTTGAAATCTTTCAAATCGAGCCTACCGGCCCTTTTTTGTTTTGTTTTTTTTCACACACGGCCTCCTTTGGGGGGAAGAAGGGCCCCTGCGACGAAAAAAAAAAAAAAAAAAAAACCCTCGACGATGCGCTGGGGTCGCCCGATGGCCAACCGGGCGGAACGACCGGCCAGGCGGCCCGGCCCCCCGCTCGGGCGACGAGCCGGCCGCCGGGCGGCCCGGAGTTCAGCCTAGGATAATATGCCATACGGCCAAATCCAACCATCACAGCTCTTATCTAGACTGAACCTTAGGCTAATGGTAATTGAAAATTGACTGAATTGACACCCAAACTTCAACAATCCATGCCCATAGCAACCGGGCTTGAGTTTTGAAGCATAGATGCAAAGATTGTACCCTGAGAAGCCACATGATGAAAGACAAGGGAGGTATTGGTTTCAGAAAGAATTCTTGAGCTTGCCTTTCTTCCTCTTCCTTCCTTACTCTTATAAAGCAAAACGCAGGTCTCGTGTGACGCTCCCATGCGAGACCCCGCTGCCCTGCCTTGGGAAAGGGGTGGGACCGCCTCGGTGTCGCGCCCCCACCGTTTCAGGGCCTGGTTCAATGTCTTCCCCCCCGGCCGAGTGCGGTGGGTTGGTGGACTGGCAGGCTGTCACGCAGGATTTTGGAGAGTTGTAGGAAAATTAGAAATACATTCACGAGCAGCCTTTGTCACACAGTCGAGTAGTTAGGATTATCCCTCCTGCCAGCGGCGACACGGCTTAGAGTGAGGCGTTCGGTTTTATCGCCTGCACCTGACCCCGTATAAAGGTTAGATTCAAGGTCACCGGAGTCCCTATTATCCAGGAGTCCTTCAAGTAGCCTTAAGTGTAACCTGTTATGATAAGGAGTGATAAATAACTTGCTATCTCATGCATAAACATTCCATGCATTACAGGTCATGCATCATAAGTCAAAAGACACTGAGAGGACGAAAAGACCAGAAACCAGACTCTGCAAGAGCATGACCAGAGACACGAGACTGAAGAGTAGTACACAGAGAATGGAGGAAGCAGCCATAAAGAAGGGGCTGCCGTCACTGATAGATAATAATAATGTCATAGTACATCTCAGTGACTAAAAGATACGAGCCTCAGTCAATGACAACGAGCGGTATCCCCTCATGAGTGAGCTCGACTGCCTGGGACTCCATATCTGGTACACACTGGTYCTCCTCATCATTGAGAACCTRAGTGGCGATAGACTCTRGGACCACATAGCTGATGTCGAAAGATGTCGTAGGATCAATCTTGCTGATGTATGCSATACATCTGGCCATCTCCTCGTCCGCAACGCTCCGAAGGTACAACTCCTCAGCTAGGGAAATGCTGCCAGTGGCACCGATCAAGATCTCGATCCGCCCCTTGTCGTAGATGTAGTCGTATGAAACCTTCAGAAAACGGTCTCCATAGAGAGGCTTCCAAAAAGCCTGTATAACGAAGTTCGCTCCCACCAAATGATTGTAGCCATCCCCAAGATATGGGACTGGTCCCTTCCCTCTAGAAGGGTCGACTACCTCCTCTGACTTGGGTACTCCTGACATGTATGGCCTAAATCAATCTCCCTCAAGCAAATATCGTGCCAGGAGGTAAGCAACCCGTCGTAGAGTTGCCTTCCGCCTTCGCCTCGCTTTAGTGGCCAGTGTCATAAAATGCTCTGGATCTGCTCCAAATCAAGCGTGCTCAGTCCCTGTGAGTATCCCTATCAAAATAGTCCCCGAAATCAACATCGCTCACACAGCAAGGCCCTTGGTCTGACTCGTCCGTCTCTGACCTCTGTAGACAGGTGGTAACAGGTATCCCGGATCTGGCCACCTCGCTCCTGATCCTCCTTTCTTGACGCCTCTTTTCCCTGCCGCCACCTCTGCTCAGCGGTTTAGGATTACAGCGATCAAAGTCATAGAGAGCACCACCTGGTGCAAAGGGGATCTGGGGAAACACCACGTGTAACCAGTGCTCTCGCCAATAACTCTCCCTGCGGAAGATATAGTCAGCAATCCGATCGTAGGTGGTTCCCTTTATTCCCTGTCCGGCTTTTCTCACGTGATAAGTGATCACCAATGTATATCTCGATGTGGGAGACTCATTGGCCCTGATGACGAAACTCTGATGCCCATTGTGTCGATAGCAGAACTTCTCAACCAGCTT